TAAAACTAAAATTTTCCGTTTTGGTAACTCATTCAGGAAGTTCAACTGGAATATTAAAGGGAATGCCATAGATCAATACTTAGGCATTTACTTTCAATACTTAGCCTTTCAATACTTAGGCATTACCTTTTCTTATAATTCCAAATTCTCAGCACCTGTCTTCATCAGCTAACCTGGCAGAGAGGTGCAAATGCCATTCTTAGATTATTTAGAAGGAAAGGTGCAGGCTTTCTCCCCATGGCCTTAAAAACCTTCAAGGCAAAATCATTGGCTCAACTCCTGTATGGCTAACAAATTGGATTTTCTGCCAATGTAAAGACCCTTGAAAGGGTTCAATCTGAATTTCTTAGATCTCTATTTGGCGTTCCTAGAAGCACTTCTAATGTAACACTTAGGCAACAGGCTGGGCTACTCAAAGTCGAAGCAAAGGTCTGGGTGCAGGCTATAACACTCTGGCTAAAAATTCATTACAAATCGAAGGTATTAAAACACCTTACCTTTTAACTGATTAAATTAACTGATTAATTAACTGGCCTATTCCCAGAAGATCTCTTCTATGGGAGCCTATACAAGGCAAGAACAGCGGTTGCGCAGAGGCTTCGTGATATTGGATCACAAAATGAAGAAGCTTTGCTACCCAAGAACTTCAGAAATATAAAATCGTGGCCTAATTTTACTGTTGCCTCTTCTTTAGTTAACATTACCTATGAACCCTACAGATGGGCCTTTTCCAGAGCCCATTTTGAGGCACTCCCTTACGCTGTACTGCAAGGTAAATTCACTTAAGTTCCAATGCATGAATGTACATGCCCATGCATGGCTAATACGGTGGAATCAATTACTCATGTCCTCAATGAGGTAGGTAATCTCTATGGAGTACTATGGAGTACAACATGTGTAAAATGGATAGAGTGCATACCCATGGTTGCTTTTTAACAGGACTCATCATTCCTGTAGCCTGGAAGAGAGTCTGATGGGAACTGGTCCAAGGGCAAGGAGCTCTCTCAGCCCCACCTACCTCCCAGGGTGTCTGTTGTGGGGAGGGGAAGGGAAAGGAGTTTGTAAGCCGCTCTGAGACACCTTTGGGTAGTGAAGGGCAAGGGGTATAAAGCCAATCTCTTATCTTCTTCTTCTTCTTAGTGGTTAAGTGTGCGGACTCTAATCTGGGAGAACTGGGTTTGATTCCCCACTCCTCCTCCACTTGCACCTGGCTGGATGACCTTGGGCAAGCCGTAGTTCTGACAAGAGCTGTCCTTGAAAAAGAGCAGTTTCTGTCAGAGCTCTCTCAGCCCCGCCTACCTCACAGGGTGTCTGTTGTGGGGAGGGGAAGGGAAAGGAGTTTGTAAGCCACTCTGAGACTCCCTTGGGTAGTGAAGGGCCATGGGGTATAAATCCAATCTCTTCTTCTTCTTCCCAGCCCCGCCAGAGAATGACAAGAATGGCTTAGAATCTTCTTCTTCTCGAATCTGCCCCATGAAGCAGAACGCTGGGGAGGGATGTGTGTGTGTGTGTGTGTGTGTGTGTGTGTGTGTGTGTGTGTGTGAGAGAGAGAGAGAGAGAGAGAGAGAGAGAGATCCCTATCAGAAATATAGTTGCCAACCTCCAGGTGGGGCCTGGAACTCTCCTAGAATTACAAATGCTCTCCATAGTATGGAGATCTCACTCCCCCTGGAGAAAATGGTTGCTTTTGAGGGTGAGTTCTATGGTGTCACATCCTTGCTGAGGTCCCTCCCCTCCCCAAACCCCACCCTCTCAAACCCTCTCCAATCTCCTCCCCCCAAAAAAATCCCCCCAACCTGGAGATGGCAACTCAAAGTCCTACAAATATTTATGCTGTATCTGAAGGAAATATTGCTTCAGACCAGCACGGCTGCACATCTTGATCTTGATGATGAGGTAAAGGTCCTGAATCACTGCATGGCTGCTGTGGTTAAATGGCTAAGAGTGAATAAATAGACATAAATTGAAACGAAGCCCCGAAAAGACAGAGGTAATAATGCTTGTTGAGAAGGTGGGAATCTTGAAGGACATTGTTCTCCCCACTTTTAGATGGAGTACAGTTGACCCTTGCTGACTTGGTTAAAAGCCTTGGGGTTATGCTGGACCCAACATTACTGCTAGAGAAGTAGCTGCAAAATCAATGTAGCTGCAAAAAGCACCTTCTTCCAACAGTCTAGTTTGAAAGATGGATGCACACCATGGTAACACTGAGACTAGACTACTGTAATGCATGCTACGTGGGTCTGCCCTTGAAGTGAGCTCGAAGACTCCGGCTGGTACAGAGTGCAGCAGCTTGATTATTATCAGGACCTGGGCAGAACATGCACATGAAATCCACTCTGCAGGCTCTCCACTGGCTGCCCATCAGCTACCAGGTTCTGTTCAAGGCACTGAGCCCTTCATGGCCACGGACTCTCATATCTTCAGAAGCGCCTCTCCTGCTCTGCTCTGCTCGGCTACAACAGCTTCACGGAGAGGCCTTCTGAGAGTGCCACCCTGCGTATCAGCACAGTCAACAGCTGTCCATTCAGGTGCGTTCTCTGCGGTGGCCCCCTCCTTGTGGAATGGCCCAAATCTTCGGGTTGGGAAATTGCTGGCGATTTGGGGGTGCAGTCTGGAGGGTATGGGGTGTGAGGCGGGGAGGGAGCTCAGCAGGGCATAGAGCCCACCCTCCAAAGCAGCCATCCATTTTCTGCAGAGGAATTCAGTTTGGTGTAGTGGTTAGGAGCACAGACTTTAATCTGGGAGAACCGGGTTTGATTCCCCACTCCTCCACATGTAGCTGTTGGTGTGACCTTGGGTCAGTTACAAGTTCCTTCAGAGCTGTTCTCTCACGAGGAGTTCTCAAAAGAGCTCTCTCAGCCCCACCTAAATGAGAAGGATTTTTGTAAAAAAAGGGGGGGTGTATGCTCTCCCCCCAAATTCAATGCCCAGGCCCAACCCCTGCACCAAGAAATCCAAAATAAGGGGAATCCCCTCCCCCCCAAAGAAATTTCTGAGAAACATGATGACTCCTGCTTCTTAAATGATGACTGCTTCTTAAATGGACAGTTCTACGTGGCCTGCTCCAGGGTGAGCTCACCAAGCAGCCTGGTGATCCTAGCACCCGAGGGCAGAACCGCCAACGTGGTCTAGAGAGAGGTCCTTCGGTAGAGAAAAAAAAAGTATGTATGTCTCGCTTCATTCCTTACACTACAGTCTTCTCCACTAGAATTCCTACAACAAATGTCACATTTCAAACTTCACATCAGTATTATAACTGGATTTACGTAACTTAAATACCGTAGCGAAGCACGGGTATCAGGCTAGTTTTTAATATAAAGTAATTACAAACAACAACACAGTGAGAGCACCTCGTCTCCCTCAGATTCAGTATCTGGAAGTGTTCCGGAGATGATTCAGGGCTCACTCCAACAGGTTGTTTCTGCCACAGGTTTGAGGACTGGTCAGGAGCCTAATGCAGTTCCTCAGGGCATGGAATCACCAAAGCAATGGTCAGGGTTGCCAATCCCCATGTGGGGCCTGGAGCTCTCCTGGAATTACAACTAAACTCCAGAGCATCGAGATCAGTTCCCCTGGAGAAAATGGCTGCCGTGGAGAGAGAGTCCTCTGTGGCAGAATACCCTGCTGAGGTCCCTCCTCTCCCCAAACCCCACCCTTCCCAGGCTCTACCCCCAAAATCTCCAGGAATTTCCCAACCCATAGATGGCAACCAATAGTTGGTGATGGTGCACTCCTGAGACATACAAGAGACAAAGCAGACTGCTGTAACTTATTTTTTACCAGTTTACAGCAATGGCTGTGAAGGCAATGCCAGCACCTGCCATAAAGTTTGACTGAGAAACTTCTCCTGCCTGCTGACTGAATCCATCAACTGTTGTGATACTGGGCACAAGGAAGAAATGCCATTGGTGGGCATTCGCCATTTCCTGATTCATCAGCTGTTACATCTTTGCTGCTGGTTGGGAGAGGCCAAGGTAGAGAGGATGGCTTCATGCCAACAGGCCTGGAGAAAAATGTCCTGTTTCATTAACAGCACAGAACTGAATTACATCACTTGATAGTTCTTGAACACTGATCTGTGACAGGACATTTTTCTCCAGGGAGTTGGCAACCCTAACCTGTGAACCTTAGTGCAATCCTAAGTGCAGTTTTGTGTAGAGCTGCAGTGTAAATGTCACAGAGAGCACAGAGACGTGATAAAGAGTCCCATTGATTTCAGTGGGAAATGAGCCGTGACTAACTTTAGCAGGATTGGAGCCTGTGGGTATAGGCCAATGGCATCCTGCTGCACAGACTGGTCATTTGCACACATTTAGAAAGCTCTTTTCCTCATGGGCATCCCTAAGCCATCCAGTGCCAGCTGCTCGTCCGTAAACAATATGCAAACAGCGCTCTCTTTAAACACCCTGAGCCAGGACTTTTCCCCCCTGGGGGAACGCGCCAGAACAGAGTCTCAGAACCTCTTAGACAAAATCCTTTTTAAAATGTTTAAAAGTTCATGAGTTTTCCGTATACAGACGGAGAGACTTCATTTCCCTCTTGAGAGTTCCAGCACCTCTTTTTCCAGAAGAAAAGCCCTGGTCTGAGCGACGCCTTTGCCAAAGCTACAAGGGAGTGTCTGAACGGTCTTGCCCCAGAGTGAGGAGGTGTCCCATCTCGGGCCATTGCCACAGGACAAAAGACTGTCAGGAACCTGCAAATATTTCCAGCAACCAGGATGGGGCAAACAATAGCCAGCAGCTCTTTTGAAAAGTATTCTCATGCAGACTGTAACCACACGCTAGCTGGGCTTTCTACCCATTTCCCATCATAAGAACTAGGAACTTCCCTTACCTGAAAAATAAAAAGGATTGTCAACATGCTAATGCAAACACTGGCTGCAGAGACTGGTGCAGGATCCCAGACAAAGCCCACAGGCGATGCCTACCCCTGCTCCGAAGTGGATTCTTGGGTGCAAAAAGGATTGTAGCCCTAAGCAAAACAGCTGCCTCTCCTACCTTTGACACCTGGAGGGGTCTCTTCTGTTCTGAGCCCCCTTGCAGCCGGAAGCCCCAAGGAGCTCCTCCAGAAAGAGTGACGATGACTTCTTCCTCTTCAGTTCCCATGACTTCAGCATGGATGACAAAAGTCTTCTCTTTGGGGCAGTCCTCCCGTGCTTAAGGGACAGTGGCTTCGGCCTCCATTTCTGCAAGTGGCGTCCGCCTTCTCAAGCCCCCACTAAAGGTCTCGCCTCCCCTTCCTCCTTGCTGCTCAAGCACGGGAGGCTTTTGTCCGGCAAGACATGCACTCTCTAGCCTTCTGGGTCAGCTGTTGATGAGCTGACTATCACCAGACATTTTGATTCCACTTTTGGTAAGAGGCCAGAGTCGTTTTGCACATGCACCTTGTCAATCTCACCCTCTCTGCCCCCCCCCCGCCCCACTCCTGACCCGCAATAGACCCTGGATATCTCATTAAGCACGGCTTAAAATAGCTCACCCCTCCTTGCTCTTTCCAGAGCTTTGTCTCCCGTTTGGCCTGCTGGGGAGGATTTCATTTAAGCATTGTCAAAAATCTTGCTAGTTCATGTACTCCTGAAGGCTTCCCCCCAGGCACACAAGAACCTTCCGTTGCTGGCGTTACCTTTCTCAAAGGAGCTTCCATTTCCTTCGTGTAAAGCATCGGACATGATCCAGTGGGAAATTCTCATGCCCCAGTGAAATGAACCAAAGCTGACATTTGTCTCAGTTAGACTACTGGAGGGTGCTCCAACTGCTAACATAATTGAGGCCTATTGTCTGCATTAAATACCCCTTTGACTAGTAGAAGGTTGACAAAAAGAAAAGAGTGAAGAGCCTGAATGATGTGGATTAAAACCTAAATACCAATCTATAATTTACAGGGGAAAAGAGGTCTAGAGATTCCTGCATAATTATCTAACCATGAGATTTCTAAATTGAGCAAAATGGGCTAGGTGTCCCCCCCCCCCATTGCATCTCTTAAATACTGTAGGCAAAAATATGACAGCAAGCTATCAAGAGACAGAAGACTCTTACGTAGCTGTTTTTAAAGTGCTGCAAATAAACTGCCGGTGGACAAAGAGAGCAGCAAGGAGCAGCAACTCCAGTGCCAGACTAGGACTGGGGAGAGCTGGGTTCAAATTTCTCCTCAGCCAGAAAACAGACTCGTGGCCCTGGGCTAGTCATTCGCTTGGCAAAAACCCTCACCCTCACCATGTTGCTGTAAAGATACCATGGAGGAGAGGAGAGAACCCCCAACGATGTGGGGCAAAGCTGGGGTGAAAATGGAATAGGTCAAATATAGGAGAGGGGAACAATAAACACAGGGGATTTCAAATCAGAGTCCCCTGGATCTGGACACACATCTCCTTCACCACACCTCCCCCCACCCCACCCCCGTTTTAGCAACATGTGTCACGCCCCACTGAGCGCCAGCCAGGAGATCTTCACTGAAAGGTCAGCGGCAGAGATCTGAAATCTATTCGACAAAGCGTGGAGTCCCTCGGCTGGGATTAGCACTGCATTGCTTTGCAAGTGCCCGGCAGTTGCCGTGAGTGCCCCACCCACCGCCCCGCCAACAAACACTGGGCAGTTCCGCATCTAGCATTTGCTCCACATTTTCTGAACTGAGAGGGGAAAGCGCAGCTCAAAACCACATGCAAATACCTTGGGGCAACGGCGTACTGATGGCAAAGTCACCCCTGAACGGCCATGAATCTATGCAGAAGGTACCATAAAACCCGATGATCAAAGAAAGTGAAAGCGACATGCAATGCAGAGAGGAATTTCTGTTCCGGCGTGGGTTTCGTAAAACAACGTTGGGAAAAGCCAATGTAGAATCGCCCTTGGTTGCCAGAGGGGAGGAAAAGAGAAGGGATGGGACCTTGCTTGGAGGCAGAGAAGCCTGTTGGTGGAGGATTAGTCATGCCACTCGGATATCAGACAAAGGGAGCTTTGACTCTCCAAAGCCTGTATCCCGAAAGTCTTGTTGGTCTCTAAGGTGCTAGTGAACTCGAATCTAGCTTCTGTGCCACTCCCAGCTCCATCGCTTTAATGGTTTGGTGAAGGACCCCACAGCAGGCGTGGGTAGTCAGTACAGAGGGGAAGTCTGGCGATATAATTTATACATTACAAAGTCCAGTTGGCTGATAGGTAGGCATGGTCCTGAACTTCTGTGCGGAGAACTCAGTTCCTAAGAATGGGAGTTTCGTTGTATTGGGGACTGTGGCACACAGGAGGAAAGGGGTTGAAATCTTCCCCATGCCAGCAGTTTCCTGAACTCAAATGGTCCTGGGAGTCAGTTTGCCTGCTGGGGAAACTTACATGAATCAATGGCTACGAGAACATTTCCCGCTTTCTTTGCACACTGTAATCCCTCTTCAAATCAAGCCCTGCCTGGAAATGTAACTCCTAACCCTGAACTAAAAGTACATGCTTGATCCAAAGTCTTCTTGGCAGCTACATGGACTTTGTACTGTGTGAAGCACAGGAGTAGAATCTGACCCCTGCTGCACACCTCCAGGAGAATGAGTTGGCAGGATGCTAAGGTGTTAGAACAAACTGCACCCCTTCAGAACTGCAAGTGGCAGATTCCAGGTCTGAAAAGTACTTCCCCTAAAAAAGCTCCATGCCATTAGAAAAATAGCACCACAGGGAGGAATGCTTGGCTATACTGACTTTCTGCCTGCAGATTGTTGCCCTGCAAGGCACTTAATGTGCTCTTATGGTCTGTAAAAGCCATAAGTGATAAAATGGACTGTGCAAACCTTTGCTTAAGGGACTGCACTGCATTGTCACCCAGTGTGATGCCAGTTGAGAATACAAACATAAGAGAAGAAAGTCTTCCTTTGCATTGCTGTTCCAGTTGGTTCTTCAAGGTTACCTGCCCTCTTACCTGCTGAGAGATGGACCAGCTCCCTAGCTGCATGAAGGAATTTAATGCCATACCATGCCAAAGCCTAAGAACAAAGAGCTCCAAACACCATAAGGAGCTCCCTCTGATACACGCAGGCAATCCCCCCACCCATACATCTTTTTGCAACACTGCACATAACCGAGAGGTTCTACACATAGTTCTACACTCTCACTCTCTCTCAC